ACCCACCCTGATGTGAAGAGCCGGTAGGCTTCTGTGCTTTTAAGTGCTTTGAGAGGCTCTCAGAATAGGGAGAGGGGTTGTATATGAAATACATATAAATGTCAGGAAAACACAAATTTGGTAGCTTTCCGCCAGTTTAAGTGGGACTGGAGTTCGCAAGGAAACTGTATAAGGATTGCAGCCTATTTTATCAACTTTATCGGATAACGTTTTGTCTCTTCCAAAGTAAGGTGAGAAATTTTAGCCATCTTTCATCTCACCTTGAAAAAAGTTACGTCCATATGGACCAGCAAAGCCAGAAAATCCGTCCCAAATATGGCGGCCATAACAAAAAAAAAAAAATCATGTGACTGAAACCCTAGGATAGTGTACTGATGTCATGCCGAGGTAACAGTAATGAAATGGTAAGGCTCTAGATTAATGCTGTCCAGTCATCCCAGGGAGAATAAAAATAGTGCATGGGATGATATTAAATCTGTTTTGAGATGATAACACTCTAAATCTATTAAATATACAGTGATAAAATCACAAGCCTGCCAGTCGTTCATGCCAGTCATAAACATAGTAATGTTTCATGCAGAAACCTTTAGCCAGTGATAAGACATGCCCAAACAGAATATACACTGTGGCAAAAATGAGAAATAGAAAAATAATTAAATGTGTGCTAAAATCAAGAGAACAGAGACATTAGTATGTTGAAAAATAAAAAGAGCCATTTGTAAATGAAGCGATATAAAGAGACAGTTGTAAATAATTAAAAGCTTATGTTTTTTATATTCAGTCATACTTTTGATTCAGCAAGAACTTCAACTGAGGAATAAATTTAACATAAAGAAAAACAGTTAAAAGTTTCGGATTGTAAGTTTCTAAATTCAGGTTTCTTATGCTATTATTTAAATTCGTTTTTCACTGAAACAGGAACATAGTCATTCAAATTACTTGATCAGTTGAAAAAATAGTCACTAAATTAACCCAGTGTTTTCCAACATTGGTCCTAAAGGCACACTGCTCTATACATTTTAGTGCTTGGTAAGTGCTCGTCCACACAGTAAAGGGTTTATTAATTAGCTGATTCGTTGGATCAAGTGTGGTAGGAGCAGGAAAAACACTAAAATGTGCAGGTCAGTGTGCCGTCAGGAGCAGGTTTGGAAAATGATTGTTAAAGTTATCATTAGTTGCATCCCTAACAAACTTGCTGTTATTAAATAGGCTATATTGCTGTTGCGGTAATGTTGGTAGTTAGTGTTCCATTAAATTTCCATTAAATATGCAGAAGAATACATACTTGTGTAGGACTAGGGAGTGTCCTAACTTAGGACTTGAATCAGGACTTGCCTCTGTTGACCTGGGACTCACATTGAGAGTTGCCTGTACTGACTTAGGTCTTAAGTCAGGACTAGCCTGTGTCGACTTAGGACTTGAATTGAGACTTGCCTGTAGTGACTTGAGAATTGACTCAAAACTTGACTGTATTTACTTGATAATGACTTCAGACTTGCCTTTATTGACTTGGAACTTTACTTAAGACTTGACTGTACTGGCTTAGGGCTTGAAACAGGACTTGCCTGTATTGCCTAGGGAATGACTTGAGACTTGCCTGTATTAACTGAGGACTTTACGCGAGCCTTTATTGACTCAGGACCTGATTTGACTCTTGCCTGTACTAACTTAGGACTTGAATTGGAACTTGCCTGTATTGACTTTGGACTCGACTCAAGACTTGCTTGTATTGAATTGGGAATTGACTCTGGGTGTTTTGTCAAGACTTACTTGTTACTTGCAACTCTGGTGTGTCCCCTCCTCTGCCTTTTGCTCACCTAGAGTGGTGGAATAGAGCAAAGAGACTGGCATTATTCTAAACTGGTGCACTGCATACAGTAAATACATAAAAGTAAAAGGTACTTTTGCCCCATATTTATTTTTTTGCCTGCAGCCTGAAACAAGAGTGTACAAAAAAGCTATTTATACTTGCCTATCCCAATACTTATGCATGAGTATGCACTGGATGTGACCATTTCATCAATACCTGCCCAGAGGAAATTACCCTTAAAGATCAGCATCTGTTTCTTCCATCATCATGACAGCCAAAAACTATCTCGTCGAACTGGGCCGACCTTTTTGCTGCAATCATCCAGACTGCAAGGCAGAGTACTTTTAAAATGGGAAGAATTCATCATTTTTATTTAAAGATACTTTTCCAACTGCTCTTGATGACCAGGGGAGTTTCTTTAATGGGTACAGTGTGGGGGTCAAAGGCAGCTTTCGTGTGTATGGCCTGTCCAGGCATTACTGATCCCGTACATGCTTTCATAAGCTCTTTCTATTGTGTGTTGAAGCCTTGGTATATACATAACTGTGACCTTTGAAAATAGCTGACTAAAAATACTGGGAATTTGATTTTTCCAAATGATAGAGGTGTGCTGGAGCATTTACTTGTCCTGTGACGATGCTTTGTTCGGGCCTCAACTGCACTAAATTGTCTTCGCTTGGAGGTATTGTGCCTTGAACAATACCGCCGTGCTATCCTATCTAAATGCAGCGAATGCTTCTCTGAAGACGTCGTTTCCTAAAAGGTGCAAAGACAGAGGTTTTGGCAATTGTTCGCTAGCAACCAGGGGCAAAGTGAATGCTACCAGGGTTAAGGGGAGGTACAGTAGTGAGAGAAAGAGAAGTGGCGTGTGTGTGGGCGTGTGCGTGGGAGGTGGGGGGGATGATTCATGGCTGACAGCTCAATGAATGCCGGGGGGGAAGCCACTCGTACAACATTTAGACGGCTGCTGTATTCTCTCAGGGGTTAACTGTAGAAATGCATAGAGAGCCATTGCCTCGCTCCATAATGTATTCTCTACCAGCACTCATCCTATCAGCAGCAGGCAGACCTCAAGGAAATGTACTGTGTGCTCTCCACACAATGTGGGAAATTGCTTACTGTGACTGCACTTAACACAGAGCAATGTGGAATCATAGATTAACCTTGCTCTGATTTGCCTAATTTGGTTGGAGCGGCATGTCCCCGGAGCTATGACGAGCCGCACTTGAGCTTTTCAAAATAACTCTCAACATACATTTTCCCGGTACAATTCAGGGGGCATTTAAGATGGCTTATGATAAGGCATGGGTTTGTGTTTGAATACATTTCTCTGTGAATAATCGATGTTCCTTCACTGACGATGCATCGCTTTTAGGGTGCACAGGCCTATTTACTGCTTTTTTGTTAGCATCGTGGTTCAGAAACACAGCCTACTGTTTCTAAGGTCATGTATTCAGGCTTCTACTTTTTTATTAGACATGCAGAGAGCCCATGGTAATTTCCTCTTTTGCTCTAATGACTTTGATAAGTGATGGTTCATTGTGAAAGCTCTGCAAGGGGAAAGAAAGTAACTCAATGAGGTAAGGAAATTATACAGTGAGTTAATCACAGATAAAGATCCTACTAGTTAAGGCCCAGAAAAACAACAGTGGAGGCTATGTCAATAGTAATTAAAGCAAAAAAAAAAAAAAAGAGTTTTTAGCTTGCTGCTCTTAATAAAATCACAAGCGTCTACAGGCCTACCTATAGCTTTTAACAGGGTCCTTGAAAATAAGGCCAAATTTTGATGCGCTCTTTGAAGTGCAGAGGAAATAGATTGAAAGTCCCTCGGTCGGATGCATTTTAACCAGGATATTGCTGCTCTTGCATTTATGGATTAGTGAAGTCCATATCATGCTGCATACCTGATATTCATTCACCTCTTTCCGAAGATTATGTTTAACTGTCTCAAATGATTCTGCATGCATGAACATGCAGCTCCCTGCACTTTGTCTTCATAAAGTAATTTACACAAACACGTTTTGGAAACATTACATGACAAAATAGTATTTGGTTTCATTCGTTTGCAAAGCACTTGAAGTAAAATAACACCTTGTCAGCCGAGATAAGCATCTAAGCCAGTTTCTTAATAGCTCAGAAGTGCACTAAATTGTTGTGTTTGTTTCCCACTATAAGGATGTCATTGTTTCTGTGGAACGTACAAATATGTATGCAAATTACAGAGCTGGAAGAATAATTCGGCTTTAGTGATTTTATCAGAGTGTCAAAGCTACTATTCAGGACTACCATGGACTTCTCCCTCGCGAGAGGGTTTGTAATTCAGTGTCAGCACTGCTTAATGTCGAGAAAGATAAAACTTTCTGACAGCCCTGCAATTGTTTTCCACTGAGTCTTTCATTTAGGTGTATGACACCTTAGCAAAACATTTCCTTACAAGGCTGGGATGTTAGGACCAAAGCGGGCCCACTCTCTAGTAAATCCTGTGTTCTTTCTTTTTTTGTGTGTGTGCTGTTCTCTCCTCTTTTTCATTCAGCTGAGCTTTCGCTGACTCAGAGCTTCCTCATCTGTATGTCACAGTTTACCTCTCTTTGCTATAAGACAGATTCTCCGTTGTGAAAAGTAGGGTATAAATAGATTTCATTGAGCAATAGTGCAATAAAGATGCCTCCTAGTCTCGGGAAACTCCGGGGAGATTTTTTTGTCCAGTAGCAGCGTGGCAGCCTCCTGTTGTGTTATATTGCCATTCATTACTCAAGGACCTCCAGTCATATCTGCCATATTGGCACTACTCTGATTTGCTCATGCTATTTGATGCCAGTAATCTCTCTGTGTGCAAATTATGCCTCAAAGGAAAAACACTTCCCTCTGGATTTCTGGCCTACAAAGTGATTATTTGCCATTTAGAAAGCTAAATTGCATTATACGTAGTTTAAAGAATTAGCATACTCATCTGTTTTGTCATTATTGCCTCTTTTTATTAATGTGCTTCAACACTAGAAATGTCAAAATACCGAGAGCATATTTCTGTTGTATGAGCACCGGCTGCAAATAACACAATTAGAGTTCCTTTCCTGAGCTGCTGAGATGGAACAATATCCCAGCCTTGAAGGACTAAGCCATGAATTAACTCATGGCTTTTGGAGGTGGAGGGAACCGCTTGTAAATGTCTCTACGTGTCTCTCGCTTACAGCCAAGAAGTTCGGGACTGGAGAGAATTTGAACATAACCGGTATAACTCGGGATGCGGCAGGGGACTACGAATGCGGCGCCGAGAACGACATCGCCTCTCCTGACACCAGGACTGTGAGAGTCACAGTCAACTGTGAGTATATCTCCCTACCTTTGTACTCATCTTTCTGCCGGCTGATGCTGCACATGCACAATGACGTTTTTTTCTTTTTTCTTTCTTTCTTTCTTTCTTTCTTTTTTTTCCCTCCCTTTGCTGGAGATACTGACTCACTTCAAGAGGCAACAGCACTGGCTGGGGCTGGAAATTAGAATAGAATTCATTGTGTGGAAGTTTTTTAATATTTAACAAGAGAATCCCCTTTTTTTGTCTGGGCTGAGATGATTAATTTCCAGTGAGGAATGGTCTCAATGTTATAAGGACTCTTCTATTATGCAGGTAATGAGTCTCTCAAAAAGTGTGAAAAGACAGTAATGAGCACTCCACGCATTAATGAATTATACTGACTTTACTCATCACGCTTATAGCGAGGATCTGGCTCCCCCGGAATGAAGGGGAAGGACACTTGACGATTTTTCTTCCCCTTCTTTTTCTCTTTTAAGACGTTTCGTCTCATTTGCGGTCACAGGGATCATTAGTCTCTTTGTCTCTGTTGATGCCATATGCTGAATCACAGCAGAGCAGGAGCACATAAATCAGATATGCGGATTCTTGTAGCCGAAAGCGCGCCGAGCAGGCCCATCAACAGCCGCCTCCCTTTACTATCACTCCAACGAAGACTAATGGGCAGATAGCCACATGGAAATGTCAGCACATCACCGAGGGCAGGCCAATGACGGCTCCGGAGTCGTAACTCACATCCCGGCCCCTCCCAGTCGATTCTATTGACACGTTCTAATGAGAAACAAAGCGGAAAAGATCAGCTGCTGGGTGCCAAGCTATCTACCTTGGCCCCGCTAACAGCACTGGCGGCATTGTTTTCGGTGAACGTTCACTTTCCAGTTGGTTTCCACAGCCTGATCTTTCTCACTGTGTGTGGGCAGGGTGGTACTGCGTGGAGACATGGACATGATTTACTGCTGCAGATGACATGAACAGTACCCGTAGTCCTTTCTGCCTTTGAAACGTTCTAGTCTAAAGCAGCCGCTGTGTAGGAGCTTGGTTGCAATCGCAATCTATCATTTGAGCAACACTGGTCCATCAAAGCAGTTTGCTTCAGGCTCTGAGGAAAAAATAGACTGGAAAACAGGTGCCAATGCTGGAATTAGAAGAGGTGTTACTTTGCCATGTTCTGAAATAAAAGCGTGAAAGAGGCTTGAAGACTGCTCTGCCAGTCCACATCTACATCCCCACTGACAAGTGCACTGAAAAAAGCGATGATGAATTTATTTGATCCAAATGCTTACAGAATTTCCACATAAACAGTATTAATCAACACATTTTTGTCTTTCAATGTGCTTAGACTCTTAAAAATAAAGATTCCTAATTGGTCCTAAAAGGCTGGGATGTACGTTTCTTGGAAAAACCTTAAAATATAATTGGTCACATAATGTAAAGGTTGTTTATAGGCCTGTCATGAAGTGTTACCTGATGATTCATTTTCATATAAATAATAACAAATATCAAGTTAATTGTCCTTTTTTTGGAAGATAATTAAGTTGATCTAATTTAATAAAGCCTTAAAGGGCCAAATTGTCTGATTCTGATTCTTAGCTGTAGCTCCCAAATGACGACAGGCAGAGCTCAAGCTCAAATAAACAAACATTACTCACCGCTGCCCTCTAAATATGTTATAGCATGTAAACTGGTCTTCTGCTTTCTTCTATTAACAGGAATTTGCCTCAACTCAGCTAATAAAAACCAAACTCATATTCTCTTTGTTAGGATGTAAACAGGATTGTGAAATCTAACAGCTTTAGAAGATTATGTAACTGTGCGATTATGAAATATTTCAGGCCTAGTTCTTTAGATTTCTTCAGTTTCTTTAAAGTTCTTCATGCTTGCTTATCTCACTTACAAAATTGGTCCTTGAAACACTCAAGATTCGTGGCAATGATTGTGTTTATGTACTTCGTTCATGTAGAAATAATGTGCATATTTGAATCAAGTAAATTCAGTGCATCGCTTCAGTGTACATCCCATTGAAGAGGCAATGAAAATGGAATGAAATCTGAAGAACTGAACTGAAGGATGTGCTCTAGCCACTCTATAATTAAAGTCTTGTGGTGGAAAAAAAAAACTGAGATGTGCAGTAAGTGTCATTTTTCTAACACGCCACAAGAAGTGAGATGAAAACCTTCTCTAACTCTCAGTGACAATGTATTCTCAGTTAATAGGCTTGTTTAAACAGATTGGGTACTTTAAATAAGTCTACCTTAGAAGATATTGGCAGAATGCTTTGACATGTTGTATTTTATTTACCAATACAACCAAAGCAAGTTACCTTACACTTGACGTTATATTAGCCTAACATGACTACAGATAATGTGACTTGACTCTGACATTTCAAGGGTAATCAGTATAATTAAATACACAGCAAAATAATCTCATTCCCCTTTAAAAATAATTACAGCTTTTAGGTATGAGCGGAGCTGACCTCTGGGCTAATTGCAGATTATGACCGCTAATTGAAATAAGCAAATTTATTAGCTGAAAACAAATTATGTTTGTGTGCGCATTATTGTATTTAACAAACTTTTGTGTTAGTGTTCAATATATTAAAGCTAGAAAGTCTTCTCTTACTCCATTTCCATGACCACCAACAACGCCTTTAATTAATTCAGTAGGAATGAAAACAGTAACATGCAAGGGAATTGTCAATTTTTTAGACACTAGTGGATGTTGAGCACCAGAGGGTTCCAGGTTCTGCTGTTTCAGCCTTTCTCCTAACCACCGCTACTGTGCCCTTGGGCAAGACACTTGCACTGGAAATGTCTCTAGGGGTGCCGAAATGGTACTCTTAAAAAGATCAGCTGTTCAACAGCCCTGTAATGTGCACAAATGAATAGTAGCTGAAGGAAAAACAGACTGGATCCATAAGCTTATTAAAAAGGCAACCTATGGTATGCAATGAAGTGAATCTGGAATTGTACTAGAGCCCAGATAATTAAACTACTTGCATATTCATTCATTAAGTTTCCTTATCTAGTATTTGGAAGCTGTGTCTTTTGTTGACCCTTCAGACTCCACCAGAATTCTAGAACGCTGTTGTTAATTCCTGACCATTTTCAGAGTTGAAGGCTTGTTTATCACTGTTTTAAACAAAACATTTTGTCATAAAATCAGAAGAAAAACAGCAGTTATGATGGATGTGATATTTGATTAGAGATGGTTGATATGGCAAAAGTATTATATACGATATTTGAGGACATTTTCTTCATACATGTCTCAATATTTTGAGTCACCGACACAACATGCTAGTAATGTCACAAGTGCCATCAAAAACTCAGTGTACAGTGATTTTTATTTACCATTTCATTTACTGCACTGCACCAAATCTGACTGAACCATATCTAACTATGCTCTCTTAATAGTGAATGCAGTTGTTCACTGTTTTTAAGTGACTATGACATCCATGCTGTCCTCAGAAAAGCATATTGTTGATAACGATAAAGATTATCGAATTAAATCAAAATCAAATCACGTTTATTGTCACATTACATTTACACAGGTGTGAAGGTGAGTGAAAATCTTGGGTGCGTAGCCCCCTTGTAGTACTAAAATACAAGAATATGTAAAAACTACAAAAATATTAAAAAAAAACATATGTACACATTAGACTCTAAATATACACAGTAATAAAAACCAGTATTGCACCAGTCCAATGTAGAGTGCTGTAACAGTAGTGTAATTTATGCAATAAAAGCTATTGTATGTACAGTTGTACACATTTCCATATATGCAATTTGTGAGCCAAGATAAATGAGATGCAGGGTACACAGGGGATAGATTATCGATATATGTATATTCCAGATTATACAAGATAGGGATAGAAGATATACAAGATGCCAATCTATATGTCAATTACAATAACGATAAAATATCATCATGTTGCCCACCTCTATATTAGACTACAAAAAATTGTCATGCCCAGGTAATGTTAGCTAAAAGCTGGACACAGCCACACCGCCCTATGCTTTCGCAAGTCACCCCCTTTTCTTAGAAAGACTGAAGCACAATAAGTTAGTGAAAGATATTAAAGCAGCAAAGTTTAAACGAAGAGAAATAGAGAAACACAATTTGTTTGGCTGTAGTTTTGAAGAAGCTGAACACCTGAGTCACCCTTTTAGCCCCTGCCGAGCTGAGAGTTGGAGATGGACAGAGATAGCTGGCTAGCTACATGGTTTAGCTGATTCCTAGGAAATAAGGATGACAGCAAAGCTATACAAATTTTGTATAAAGCACTGAAATAACTCTTCAATTTTGAGCAAGGTTTATATTCACGTTATTCAAGTTATTTCACGATGGAATTGACCTTGGAAGTTAGCAGTTGAATATGAACTTGACTATCCATTCTGATAACCCAGCTAAACTGACTACAAAAAACACAAAGCTAAACAAAAATTTTAAAAGATGTTTTGAACTTCTGTATGACTGATCAGACTCATCTGTCTCCAAATCACACATAATGTTATAGTACATCTGTCTTTGGCTTCTTTGAGACGATAGCTGTAAAGTAGTGATGTATGAATGTATAACACTATTTGTTACAAATCGAATACTGGAATATTTTGATTAAAAATATCTAAAACTAATAAAAATGATATGCTTTCAGAAATGAAAAACCTTCAAACTTTCAAACTGTCACCCTCAAGGGCACATCTTCAGAGCCTTTGTTTAGAGAACATTGTTGTACCATATTCCATTGCAGTTATATTGATTCAATGTACCTTGTCTTGACTCCAGGCTTTTTATTTTACTTTTTTTATTTTAAAACATTATGTAAAGGTTATGAAAAGGTACAAATATGCCCTTTGATTGTAATTTACCTTTCAGACTCATTTAAGCTGCACAATTTGACCTTAAGACAATGTTTAACCCTATAAAGGTGCATTTACATTGTTTGTATCTTGATGAGCAAAAATGACCCAGGACAGTACCCTTTGTTATGACTGTGTATTGTAGAGTAACTAATT